TGCCTGTGTAGCATTTGGCAGGTACCCTGTAGTTGCTATTAATCTAATATGTATTAGCATCCACCAAATTCTGAATAGTTTAAAAGGATGAACATTTATATAACCTCAGTGTCTACCCACCTCCATATTTTTATGGAAAAATTATAGAAAATTTGGAAACCAAAAAAATTGCCCCCAGATATTTTGAGTGTTTTTTAAGTCTCCTTTTTATGTCAACTTTATTGAGCTACAATTTTTGTTATTTATAAAATGAACCCATTTACAGTGAGTCTTAAAAATTATGACAAAAGTGTCACATCAAATATAGAACTGCAATAAAAATATAGAATATTTTACTCCCCAATAGCTTTTAGTTTCTTTGGGAGAAAGAATTGTATTCATGCCTCCTTTGTTTTATGTACTTGGTATTCTATGATAAAATTTTTATATCCTGCCTTTCACTTGCCATTATATAGTGACAGTTTTGTATGTTATAAACTCAAAATTTTAATTTAGTCTCTGCATTGTCCATTATTCAGTCATTTCTCAATTTGTCCATTTAGATTGCTTTTGCTCTTTTATTTAAAAAGTTACTTAAAAGTAAACAAAATGTTTTTGTATTTAGATTGTGGTGTGCATCTTGATTATTTTCTTGGTACAAATAACAAGAATTGGAATTACTAGATGAAGGAAATATGAGTGTTTTAAACCTAATGATTATTTACTCATACATTTCAGTGCTAACAGTATGGCAGGTTCTATGCTAAGTACTGTGGATATAGTAGTAGACACAAATCCTCTCCTGGAAATCAAATAGATTTCCAGAATTTCCTTAGATTACCCTAATCTTAATTTTTCTCCAACAGTTCTTTAATTTTTGTAAACTAATACATGAATATATAAAAATCAGGAATATGGAAAGTAAAAAAAAAAAAAAGTGAAAATCACCTGAAATCTTCTGGTGCTACTTTTAAAAGATGAAATTTAATAGCAGTAAATAGAAGCTTTGTGTTGACAAATCAACTATGTAAATGGAGGATAGGGGAAATGTACCATAACCAGGATTTAATTTTTTTTCTTTCATTTACTCAAATAATTATGAGAATGA